GCCGCCGTGCAGAAAAGGAAGAACATGGAGTATCAGTAAGTAACTCCCTATAATTTCTATGAGACCAAATTATGTGCTTGGGGAATTATGATGATGGAGGTGTAGGCATGTGGAAGCTTGGGGGGAATTATCATAATTGACATATTAATTGGAGCGTACATAGTTGACTATGGCTTTGAATCGACAATTGCGTTTCTTGGATGGTTTGGTATACATATTGTATTTGAAATTTCTGAAATTGAAGGTTTTGGTTCATCATTTTGTTCACAGAGGCTTAGGTCTGCAAGCATTATATCCATGATATAAAAAGCATGGAGAGGAGGTGCTTACCAGGTAACTCGAGTGATATGTTGACAAAATTTTGAATTTACAAATATTTTTCATTTGCATGACTTATTCGGTATTTATTTCTACTAGCTAACAAAGATCGGAGTTTCTTGGTGATGTGTTGATTATTTGATCACATCCTATTTGTGCTCGGTGTTCCCTGTCTTAAAACCTGGCCAGTTGACTGATTTGAGAGCATCCCTTGTGAACAATGACTCATTTGCTCAAGCAACAGCTAGTAATTGGCAAAGTTGCTTGTGGTGTTGAGAGTAGTTAGCTTATTGATAGTTTGATTAGATTTTCATGAATGTCTTAAGAATCTTGATTGATACAGAATAAACCAAATGCCATAGCCAATAGGCTATCAAGGTCCATAATCTTTTACTTCTATTCCACCTTAATCCATTTTGATCACCCTTTGTAGGCCCCTACCCTCCACTGTCACTCAAATCACCAGGCACCATCGGCTGGCGAAAACGATTCTGCTACATCAATGAACTAGCCAAGCCTTTACAAGTCCTGAGTACCATGTTATGAGGTTGTTGTTTGATGGTCTTAAGCCTCATTGTTGGCAAATAGTAGTATATGTGTAGAATTAAAATGGCACAATTTATTAATGGAAGGCCCTGAACAAGTAAAGGGTTTAGTAGCCAAACTCCTTAAACTAAGACTGAGCACTGTACTGCACTCATTCCTGACAAAATAACAGTAGTGGCTTAACCTCAACAATGTGAGCTGTTAGTAGCCCAAGATAGTGTCATGGTTAGTCCTAGAAACAACTAACACATCTGGGTTGGGTGGATGCGTGCTATATAGATGCATAACATCATAATAATCAATACAATAATGCTTAAGTTGGAATGTTTTATACGGAGTATAAGTTAGCCTACTAGCTCAACAGGTAGAGCATTGTGCATTGCAAGAGCACAAACGATGTGGGTTCGAATCCCCACGTAGGTTTATTTGTGTAGTGTTGAGACAAAAATTTGTTTTAGAGTTAGTTGTAACAAAGATTCCAAAATCATAAATCATTTCAAGCTTATATTTTGTTTGTAAAACTAAGCACTAAATTTAATTTACTAATTTTTTTTTTTATATACTTTTGAGTTATCATGGTTTATTTTTAATATATTTTGGTTTACTTTTGATCTTTATTTATTTAGTTATTAATAGATGTAACCTATACAGAAATTGAACCTACATCCCTTATGCATTTGCATAGTACTCTCCCACTTGAACTAATAGGTTTTGACATACCTAGCAATCAAATTGTGTAACCCTATGTTCTAAATTTTTTCTTATGTTCTAAATATATGTTCTAAACTTTTCAATCTATGTTCTAAACTTTTTTAGTCTATGTTCTAAATGTTTATGCCTATATTCTAATTTTTTTCATATAATCTAACCATATAATCTTTTTTTTTTCCCATGCTCTAAATGTATATGTATTAGCTATTTTTTTTCAATTTCCAAACGTACGTTTTAACTATGTTGTATCTTTTTTTCATATGTTCTAAACCTATGATCTAACTTTTTTCACATGTTCCAAACCTATGTTATCATTTTTGTCCTATGTCCTAAATTTTATTCCTATGTCTAAACTTTTTTCTCTATGTTCTAAATTTTTTTCTACAATCTAAATTATTTTTCCTATGTTCGAAATTATTTTTTTCCTATATTTTATTTTTTTCTGCCTATGTTCTTAATTTCAGTTTATGTTCTAAATTTTTATCCTATGTTTTAATTTTTTTGTTCCAAATTTTTATCCTACGTTCTAATTTTTCCGCCTATGTCCTATTGTTTTTCTATGTTCTATTTCTTTCCTACACACTAAAGTTTTTTTCCAATGTTCTAAATTTTTTTTACGTACGTTCTAAATTTTTCTGTATATGTTTTAATTTTTTCCTATATTTTAAATTTTTTCCTATGTTCTAATTTTTCTATTCTAAATTTTTCCTTATGTTCTAATTTTTTTCTTACTTATTGTTTTCTAAGTTCTATTACCACCTGTGTTTTCTATGTTTCTAAATTTTTTCTACCTGTGTTCTAAATTTTTACCCTACGTTCTAAATTTTATCTACCTATGTTAATTTTATTCTTTGTTCTAAATTTTTTTCCTATATTTTAAATTTTTTCAGTATAGGTTCTAATATATTTTCCTTGTTCTAATCATATGTTCTAAAAAAAATTGTTGTGTTCTAAATTTTTTCTTATGTTCTAAACATATGTTATACGAAGTATTTTTTTTTTTTTACTTTCTAAATTTTTCTAGGTTCTAACTTCTTCCCCATGTAAATTTTCTGCATATGTTCTACAATTTTCACACATATTCTAACTTTAAAGCATAACTAAAAAAGGCGCAAAAAAAGAAAAAAACCACTCCTAAATGTTTAGCTTCATTCTCTCGAAACGATACGAAGTACAATAAACCATCAACATGCAATGATATTAGTTACTCAATATACAAAACGATAGTTTTATACAAGAAGTATACTTTTGGAACATAGTAGACAGACTTTTAGAACATAACATTCATACTTTAAATTCAAACATTAGAAATTATAATTTAGAACATAACAAACCAATATGTAGAATTTTAGAACATCATAGACTAACTTTAGAAAATAAAACGATATTGTTTAGAACATAATTTTAGATGACAAAAAACATCTAATTAAAATTATGATCTGCATTTTTTGATAGTTTTAGCACATAACAAGCGTAATAGGTATAATTAATAACATAATACACCTAGTTTTAGAACATAATGCACTATATGCACATACTTTAAGAACATAATTGTCCTTTTAAAAAAAATACTTAAAATCACTAAAAGCATAAATATCAAATCTGAAAATGTTATTCAACTTTAGATTTAAATTTTAGAGCACATTATGCATGAATTACAAATTTCTAAGACATTAATATACTTTAGAACACAATTTTTAGAATTTATGCGACATGCCTTATGAAATTATAGTAGTTGTCAGATTGGTTAGAGTAACATTCGGATTTTTTCAATTCGGCCTTGCATGTTGCTGCAGTTCTGAAATACCAAAAAAATTAGCAATATTCAACCGAAAATAGAAATATTAATACCTGAAATTGTTCAAAACTGAATACACAGTAGAATATTACTTACCTTAGCGTTTCAAGACTTATTTTCATAAAATTATGTTGTTCTTCGCCAATTTCCAATCAGATTTCTCTTTGAATCAACTGTTGCAAAATATAGGGTTTTTTTGCCAAAATTTGTAGTTAAATTATTCAAATTGACTTTGTTAATGCAAGTTTATGAACAATATTTTTGAATCTACGCCAAAAATGAAGAAAAACGTTGATTTTTTGGGTTCAATTGAAGCAGTTTCAGTATTTTGAAGAAAGTAAATATGGTGTTTAAGAGAGAGAAAGTGGTGAGAAGTTTGGGTGTCATTGAGGGAGAGAAAATTAAAAGTTTTGTGGTTATATAAAGGTAGAAGGTTTTGATATTTACAAGAATGCCATTAATATCTACGCTCTAATCTTAACCATTTATCTCAATCAAATCCTACGGATTAGATTTATTCTTATATACACTAGTGTTCTTATATAAAGAGGTATTCTTACCGGATCCGTCTACTATGCTCTATTCAACTTTAGATTTAAATTTTACAGCACATTATGCATCAATTACAAATTTCTAAGACATTGATATAGTTTAGAACACAATTTTCAGAATTTATACGATAAGTTCAGATAAGTTACAATAAGGTCTAATAAGTTTAATAAGTTCAATAAGATCTAATAAATTTAATTAGTTATAATAAGTTCCAGTAAGTTAAATAAGGCCTAATAAAGTCCAAGCAATAAGTTAAATAAGGTTTTATAAGTTCCAATAAGTTCTAATCAAGTCTAATAAGGTCCAATAAGTTTAAATAAGGTCGAATAAGTTCAATTAGGTCTAATAAGTTTCAATAAGTTCAATAAGGTATAATAAGTTTAATAAGGTCTAATAAATTCAGTTGAGTTCAGGTCCAATAAAGTGAAGAGAACACCGTTAATAAAAGAAAAGAAAAGAAACTTTAAATTAGTTAAAATAACTAGCTAAAGTATCGTGCCATGAACGGTTTTACTAAAAATTATAACGAAATTTTGATTTTAAATAATAACAAAAAAGAAAAATAAATTTTAACTAAAATAAAATTACTTAGCTTGAAATTAAATTAGTATTTGTACCAAAGATATTGTTATTAATGCATTAGACTTTCTAAAAAAATTGAAATAAATTTAGTTACTATGAGGTTCTATATTGAAAATTTTAGTTTATGACCCATGAGATATATTCATATACCATTTAATTTGTCTCTATTTTGTTAACACGGTACACTACTTTAACGGCACAATGTTTTATGCAAACTTATTTGTTTTTCATTTACTTTGTAATAAATTATTAACCAACTTTTTGTAAAACTTATAGTTACCAAGTAGTAGGGTTTATGGTTTATGAGTAGTATATATAAAAGCTAAAATCTAATATATATATATAGAGAATGGATTATGTGAAAACAAGTCTAAGGCTGAAAATTAAAAACAGGTGATCTAGACCATTGAATTTTCATCTAACGGATGAGATTATATCCGCTTGATGTTTATTCTTGACCGTGGGATTTGTTCCTTGATTTTTGAAAATCCATTCACTCCTCTACTTTTTACTCTATTTTTCTCTCTCCTCCATCTCACGTTCTCCATCTTCTTCATTCTCTCTCCTTCCCAATTTAATATCAACGCTGAACATCATCAAATTATAGAGGAAATTGGTTAAATCCTTGTCAATTTCGTCATTAGCTTCAAAAAAGTGAGTTTTCGTTTATGATTTTTGTTTAATTTGGTATTTTATAGTGTTTTTGAAAATACCAAATTTATTTTTCTATTTGATTTTTTTTGAGTTTCGTAGGAGTAATTACACTTATTTGAGCTTTTTCTAGCTTAATCGAGTTTCATATGAGTGTAAATATGTTAAGATTCAACTTAATTTCTTCTTATGGCATTTCTGAGCTTAACTTGTATATATTTTTTTTCATATTTGGGGAGATTTCAAATTTTTAATTTTCATTTTATTTGGCAATTTTATCAAAAAAAAAAATTCTGCGATTTTGTTCGATTTCTTGTGCGATTTTGCGTCTTTTGTTCATCAATTTTGTTCGATTTCCAATGCGATTTTGCGACTTTTGCTCATCAATTTTTTTGACTTTTTTATATCAATTTTGTTCGATTGTTTGATTTTGCGATTTCCTGTTTGATTTTGTTCAATTTCCTTGTTCTAAATGGCTAGCAAAAGGAATCGCCGCTGTGCAGCAGAACGCCTTCTTCATGCTTTGTGCTGTGGTAAATTTCATCCAATTTTCGTTTTTCTACTGGATCAGATTCAATATATTTTGTATTTCCTTTTTTAATTTTTGTTGTAAATTCAATTTTTAGGATTCCGTTAATCTCAGGGAAGCTCTCAAGTACTCTGCTCAAATGCTTTCGAAGCTCCGAACCTCTAAACTTTCTCCTCACAAGTATTTTGAAATTTGCATGAATTTTTAGTGTTTTAAAATAATTTTAATGATTTTTTTAATCGTGTTTTGTAAGATATGAGGCCGTTTGATGAATTGAGGAAGCTGGAATTGTTCTTCAAGGATGAGAGCAGGCATGGTCTTGCAGTTTTTGATCTTTACGAACTTGTTCAGCACGTTGGCAATGTGTTACCGAGGCTGTAAGTAGTGAGGTCAATTTCATAATGTTTACATTGAATGTTGTTTTGGAGAAATGCTATGGAAATTTTACAATTTTATGACTGATCTTGGAGTAAAATTTGATTTGACTTTGGAATTTTCGCCGTCTTTTGATGCATTAGGATATGTAGTTGTGTAGTTAGTATCAATCCCGATATTCAAATTCTAGGGAAATATCAAAACCGAGGATTGGTGAATAATTTGGTCCGAATGAAAGTTTGATTTCTAGTTTCTCATCTTCTCTTTTATTTTAATTCTGGGATGGTAGATGTCAATCGGACTAGAAATTGTTGTATTTTGTTTGGGAGAAGGTTTGTGTATATATAGTGTGTTATATTCATGGTGCTGACACTGAAGAACTGGCCAATACTTTGGCAATAATTGATGGAAACTGATTTTTTGGCTCCTGCAGCAACTGGGTCCCTCTGAGGCTCTACTCTGTCCTTCAATGATGCCTTTAATACTGCAGTTTCGTTTTATGCAGTAACGTTTACTTTGCTTTCTACTCCGTAGTTTTAATGTACAAGGAAACATTAGTGGTTTAGTCACTCTTTTTTTACTAGTTATCTTTTTATTAATATGTACAGTGACCCCTGATTTTGTGCAATAATATGAGTTAATAGCTATGGAGTATACTTTTTTTGTGTGCTGGAAGCCCATTAGCTCAATTGGTCGAGCATTGTGCACTTGCATTGCACATGATGTGGGTTCGAATCCTACATAGACTTATATGTAGTGATCTATTTAAAATGTAGTAAAAATGAATATAATTAGCTTATTTTTATTTATAGTGACTTTTATAATTACCCGAAGTTTATATATAGTTACCTTATTTTCGTATATAATGACCTTAGTATCATGGAAATGTTGTAAATTTTGTTTCAGTCGCCTTATTTTTGTATATAGCAATCTTTATGTAAATGTTGTCAAAATTGATTTAGTTACCTTATTTTTATATATAGTGACCTTTATTTTTGTATATAGTGTCCTTTAGGTAAATGGTGTCAAAACCTCAGTCGATATTGAAGGTTCAATGGGCACTCAAGAGGGGGGATGAATTGAGTGTTAAGTAATCGTTAGCAATTTTTGCTTCTTTTTGGATTATGTGTAAGGAACCAGTTTTGCTGGTTCCCTTATACAGCGGAATAAAACAAAGCAATAAAGAACACCATAGATTTAACGAGGTTCAGCCAACTCTGGCCTACATCCTCCTATCCTAAGTCCTTTTATTAATCTACTCCGAAAAATAAAGACAAAGAACACTCTACTGTTTCCCTACTCCGGGAACCAGTAAACCCCACACTCTACTCCGAATGTGCTCTAAACTTACCCACGTAAGTTCCTAGTGTGTTTGAACTCACAAACACTCACCAAGTCTTCAACCCCTCTGTCAAAGACTTAATACAAGATCAAGAACTCTCTAATGATCTAACTCTCAAAAGTCAAATAGAGAAAAACGTTAAAACACTATTATGCTCTTGTGTATCACTTAATAATTGAATTAGTGCTTTTAGCTCTCAAAAATCAAACTCTATTAAAATGCGTGAAAGCCGTGTCCATGAATGAAGTCAATTATTGACCAAAGGACCTTCCTTTAAGTTGATCGAAAATCCTTTCAAGCTTCCAATCTTAGAAATCAACTTAGATACTGCACATTTAACAAAGTTAATGTACAATACTAAATAAGTAACTGCCTTTCATAAAAGCAGTTTGAAAAACAGTTTATACTGGTTCCCTACCAGTGCATAGCTCATTTATCATCTAACTGTTCCCTGTATAAAGATAAGTTAGTTCAACAAATATCTCATATAAGTAATAACTTATCTAGGGAAACAGTGTTCTATTTTAGCTGGTTCCCCCAACTGTATTGAACACTTTCAAAGACCTATATCCCTTAGCTGTTTGTCATCATTCAAAACTATCAATCAAAACCTAAGGGACTCAAAAAATTCCCCCTTTTTGATGATGACAAACATTTGAAGTTTCTGCACCTGTGAACATACTCAAAAGAAAGTAGTCAAAAACTTCAAGGACTCGAAGACTCAATGGAACAAGTCAGTTAAGCCAACTGGTTCCCTAAACAGAAACAGAAAATAAAATAAAGTCAAAGTAAAAGTAAAAAGACTCAAAAATGACTCAATCTAAACTAGTAAAGACTCTAGGCTTCAACTTCAACTATTTTCCCCCTTTTGGCATCATTAAAAAGATATGCAAAAGTAGCATCTTATGCATAAAGTAACGTGCTAAACCATCCAATGGCAGCAACCATTATACAAATAAAGTGCTGCAAAAGAAGGTCAGATTAGTCAAAATAAAGCCATGCCATCAATAAAGATCATAGTTTAATACAAACCAACAAAAGTGAACGATAGAGCCCAAATCCATATCAAAATAAGTTCATGGATTGGGAGGAATAAAAACAGTCCAACAAAATCAGTTATTCAGAATATAATATAATAAAGGTAGGCTAAATGAAAAAGAAAACAGATTCAATCATCATCATCATTTTCATCATCTCCTTCCTCTTCTTCAGTGTCAGCCTCCTCAGCTGCTTCATCCTGGTTCTCCTCCTCTTCATTGTCATCTTCCTGATGGTCCTCCTCAACTTGTTCCTTCTCAATTCCAGAACTACCAGCAACCTGTTTCTCTAACTTGCTCATCCTCATAATAAACGAAGTAGATAAACCTTCCACTAAATTCATTAACTTACTAAGCTGATCCCCTACAGCACTCATCTTCTCTTCCTGACTCTCCAGCCTCTTAAGAATAACCTTCTGACCTGCTGGTTCATCTGCCTTCTGTTTCTTCTTGGCAGGCTTAGGAGTCTCTACTGGTTCCTCCTCCCTAAACTTCAACACCCCAGCACTTATGATCAACCCCTTTTGTTTCAAAATACCTTTGGTAAACACTATTACAGGAGCAGTTGATCCACTAAGAGAAACATTATTCTCTTTAAGAAGCTTAGTTATGTAAGAACCATAAGGAAGAGAGTGGTGGGATGAATTATAGCAATTCATCATATGTTTTGTCATTAGGGAAGGAAGATTTATCTTAATCTTTTTCATCAACAAATATATAAGCACCATTTCCATGATGCGCACAAAACCCCTACCTTGTGCTCGAGGGATAATCATCTTGTTACACAGAGAATGAAGAACCAGCATCACTGGTTCCTTCAAGCTACCAGTTTTAAAAGTTCCAGCTTTCTTTGGAACTTTCCCTCCAAACACAAAGTCATGCACTTCATCTGGACTGACCCCAATAAGTGTGGGCCATCCATCTCCAGAATACTCATCAAAACCATCTCTGGGTATATTCAACAACCCAGCCAAACTTGCAACAGACACATTCACTTCAACATCATTCACAACTGAACCTAACGACCTATCCAACATTTGTTTCAAATTCACATAAAACTTTCTAACACCATCAATATTAGCATCACAGACATCAAACAAAGGCATCCAACCCTGATATTCTAACAGCTCTTTCACATCACTTAAGGAAACTTCATCAAAATAACCAACTTCTGTTTTACACCCAGATAACACAACCCTAGAACCTAAATCAGTCATACCAACAGATGGAGATTCTACTGACATACCTCTTGTAGACTTCCGTGTTGTTCTCTTTCGTTTGGTACCAGCAGAGTCCATCGACTGTTCCTCCACTACTACTTCGCCAATCTTTTTCAGGGAAGACCTAGTCACTCTACTGCGAACCAAGGGTTTTGAAGTCCCCCTTTTCTGCCCAATAATCTGTAGATCCTCTTCTTCACTTCTAACTTCCTCCTCTTCCCTTTCTCCAACAGTATTGAAGAATTCTTCAGCGCTTTTGGGCTGGTCCCCCTGAGATGAGGCAGGTTCTTTGATGATGGAATCATCAGCCTCAGGGGTTTTGGGTAAAGGTGCATTTTTGGGAGGTGGAGGTGAGGGAGATTTAGAAGATGAAGACGGAATTGGTGATGGGTTCTTTGTGGTGGTAGGAGGTGAATTGCTCGATGAAGTCGGAGCAGGGTTAGTTTCAGTGATGGTGGTCTCCTTCAATTGAGTGGACTCACTTGCTTGATTCTTCTCCTTTCCTTCCTTAGCTGAAGCCTTGGTTGATTTCCTTCCCATTGTAGCAAGCAAGCTTCAAAATTTAGTAGGAATTTGAGAGAGATGAAAACCGAGTGAACAGTGATTAGGGCGCCACTTTTGAACGAGAGAGAGGATGAATTGAATGATGATGTGATGTGAAACTGTATCAATGTGTTAGTGTGTATTTATATTAATTTCACAAACATATGAATTCCAAAAACTAGCCGGTTGAGAATCAAAATAAACGGAAAAGATAATTTCAAAAATTGAAAATTTAAAATATGGTAATTATCTTTTTACCAAAAAAAAATTCAACCAACTATAAATTAGGCAATTAAATATATTTGCCTCTTTGTAGGATAGGAATAACTGAAATAAGATAATTATTTCCAAAAAGAAATTATCTTATAGTAATCTTCCAAAAATAAAATATTTTCGGATGACATATCAGAGCTGAACTGTTGTTTCCTCTTGCTGGTACCTGTACTGAACCAGTCATTCTATTTTCAGCATTTTTCAAAATAACTTCTCCTGTTTCTATGCAACAATAATCCACTTAGGTTATTTACACAATATTTGTAAGTAAGCAACATAGTTATATACATAATCAATACAAAAGCATACTTATTCTAACCAATCATTGAAGGAAATAATTGAAGCCAACGCCTAAAATCTAACTAGACCTAAAAGGACTCTTAACCTACAAAAAGACTCTCTACATAAAGGCTTTGTGAAGATATCAGCTATTTGATCTTCACTTTTACAAAACAACATCTCCACCAATCCTTTTTCCACATTGTCTCTTAGAAAATGGTGTCTTATCTCAATGTGTTTGGTCTTGGAGTGTTGCACGGGGTTCTTTGAAATATTGATTGCACTAGTGTTATCACAAAAGATAGGAACACTTTTATAAATAACACCAAAATCTTTCAGCTGGTTCCTTATCCACAGTAGCTGGGAACAGCATGAAGCTGCAGCTATATATTCTTACTCTGTTGTGGATAGGGCCACTGAATTTTGCTTTTTAGAACCCTATGATATAAGACAAGAGCCAAAGAAGTGTGCCATACCTGATGTGCTCTTTCTATCAACTAGGAAACCAGCATAATCTGCATCTGTATATCCAATGAGATCGATGGTACTGCCTTTGGGGTACCACAAAAACAAATCTGATGTTCCCACAAGATACCTAAGTATCCTTCTAACAGCCTTCAAGTGAGATTCCTTTGGATTGCTTTGAAACTTAGCACACAAACCAACAGAAAACACAATGTCAGGTCTACTAGCTGTTAGGTAAAGTAGAGAACCAATCATTCCTCTATAAAGCGTAGCTTCAACATTTTTTCCCTTAAGATCAGCATCCAACTTTGTGGATGTGGGAACAGGTGTATCATAAGCTTTGCTGTTCTCCATGCCAAACTTTTTCAGCAGCTCTTTTAAGTACTTTTGTTGATGGATCATTATACCATCATTTGTTTGCTTAATCTGCAGCCCTAGGAAGAACCCTAGTTCTCCCATCATACTCATTTCAAATTCACTCTGCATAAGATTTGCAA